TTTGTGTCTCTTTGTGGTTGTTTTGTGTCTCTTTATTGTAGTTTTGTGTCTCTTTGCAGTTGTTTTGTCTCTTTGTGGGCATTTTGTTGTCTTTGTTGTTATTTTGCAAGTCTTTTTGTGGCTGTTTTCCGTCTCTTTGTGGTCATTTTGTGTCTGTTTGTGATGGTTTGTGTCTTATTGTAGTAATTTTGTGTCTCTGTTGTTTGAGTTTTTTGTCCAGCAGTTGGTTCTTTGTGGTACTTTTTTTTACCTCTTTGCATTTGTTCTGTGTTTACTTCTGGTTTTGTGTCTGTTTGTGGTGGTTTTGTGTGTCTGTGTAATCAGTCGTGTGTGGTATATTCAGGTATAGATCTTATTGTTTTATGTGTAGTGTACGTGTGTGTTTGCTTGGTTCAGGAGCAGCTTTTCGACCACATTCAGGCGTTCAGGACAGAAATCGTGGTGGTTTTTCTGCACAGAGACGCTTCAGCCGTGACGTGTTTTGTGTTCAAGTCCCTGCAGAAGCTCGACGGAGACGAGAACAGGTGGCGTGTGAATATTTCAGAGCTTTCATCTGCTCACATCCAGACTCAGGATGTTTGAACAGTATGTGACTCCAGAGGCGGCTGCGTCGCTGCAGGGCGTGTACACAAATGTTTGTGGTTTATTTTGGACCCGACAACATTTCTCGGAGTCGTTCGGTTTTGGCAGATGAGCAAAAACGTCACTTGAGCTGCTGAGAAAGTGAACGCTGGTGCAGCTTTCAAAGATGTTATCCGAAGGAAGAACCCAGTGAGTCCAGAGAGATTGTTTTAAATGGCACGAAAAGGAAATAAGACGAGTTTACTTACATAATATAATAACATACTTACTTTGGCCCAGTTTGCCTGTAATGTGTCGACACGAAACCACAGATGCAGCAAAGTCGAGTCCGTCGAGTTAAACAGATCATTAGTGGGTGCAGCAGGACGGTTATGTGCCGGCAGCTTTATTTGTGGTTTTAATCTGTAATATCATCCATTTAAAAAGCAGAACTGTTGGCAGCTGATGTAGGTTTTGTGTTTAAAACCATGACAGGGTTGCTTTTATTAAAACGAATGCTTGTGGTGTTCTTCTACATGGAGCACTTCTTCTTCTGTCTAAATGATAAAAGCTAAAGACCAGAAACTTTGACTGGAGCTCTGGCCTTTGTCTGGAGGTTTATCGGGAGTCCATATGTTTGCATTCTGCTCGTAACATCCGTAAACTAAAGATCTGCTGCCGTTCCTTCGTTTCAGCTGTTAAATATCTGATTAGCGCTGCTGCTAAAATAATGTCTCGTAACAAAAGCATCCTGTTTAATTCCTGCAGCACTTTACTGTGTGTCGTTGTATATCTGATGCTAACTGATGCTAACCAAAAGTAGAAAACTGTGTAAAAAATTAAACGCCGTCTTGTTCATTAAAGTTGGGGATAGCTGTACTGTTAGCGGTGCTGCTAGCGTGACGTTGTGAGATGCTGCTGTTGATTGGTTGAAGAGTTTCCGCCTCTTTGGTCCAGATGGAAACTCCTCAACAGAGTCATGATGTAGAAGTCCGTCATCAGTTAGCCTTAGCTTAGCCCGTCTCTCTACAACCCCAACGCCGCCTCAACGCTATCCTCCGGTGTTCTGCTGATCTCTGGGATGAGCTGCAGAGAAAATGGTCCAAGTGGTGAAAACTAGAATCTAAAACTTCCTGTCGGCTGTTTGAGGCGTTTACAAGACTGCTAGCTAGCTAGCTAGCTACTAGTTAGCAGAATCTGGAGAGTTTCTGAGCCTCGTGTTGTTCTTTCGCCGCCATCTTGGTCTGAATAAATATCGGCTGTAATGAAACTAGTAATGGTCGACAAAGTGTGTCGGGTTTTTGGACGAATGTTGGTGCTGAAATGTGGAGAAATCACTTCACAGGACTCGACGTAGCCGACGTCACTGATGCACTGCTTGAGAATAAAAGCTATCGTAGTGTTCATCCAGACACATTCAGATGACCAGAAAGGAGCTGAACTGATGCTAACCTCCTCCCTCTGAAGTTCTATATTTATTTCTTCTTCCTCTTTTTCTCCTGTAGGGAGCTGTCCTCCAGACATCAGACCAGCGTCCTGTTCAGAAACACCCGAGAGTCGAAGCTGATCTGAAGAAAGACGTCGGAGCAAGTGACGGATAAAAACACTGAACGTTTCCCTGAAATGTGAAGCTGTTTGTTTTCTGCAGGTGGTTCGAAGCTGCTGCAGCTCATCTGAGGTTAACCTGCTTTCTAGATTACGCTGAGCTGGAAATCCACATTTCTGACATGAAGCAGCTCATTGTTCAGGTCGTTTACTGGACGTACGCTTTTCTCTCTGCTGACCTGTAGAAGCTCAACGCTGACTCTTTTTTATTGTCTCTGATGGTTAAACTAATAAAATCTTGATGTTTTTAACGATGACACGTTGTTTGTTTAGCTGCTGTTTGTTGAAGCTCATAATGTGTAATTATCCGACATCACAGCAGCGTTTATTGAATCTCTCTCGGCTACGAAGCGCCGACATCCTCCCAGCCGGTCACGTTTGTGTTCGGTATGTTTTAATTGGGTGGAAACGCTCCTGAAACTGGGTCACTTGGCTTTTGTTCAGAGCAGATGAGCTCCGAGATGAAAGCAGCGACTTGTTTTGTGGCCGTTTTCTCCTCAGAAGCTTCGGGAAACGCTTCAGTCGGTCTCCTCCAGACTTATGGTTAGAACATGTAAACACTGATGTCGTGCATTTTGTAATCATGTCAACACTGATGGTCTGGGTTCTTTCTGCTTCGTGTTCGGGCTGAAACACGAAGACATTCTGCTGTTATTGATCACAGCGGACGATGAGTCGGACTTTCAGCGTCTCTCAGCTGATTAATGAGAAACCAGGATCCTTGTTTGTGTTCATATTTATCACAACATGGTCCTAACAATAGAACCATTCCAGTAAAAATCCTCAGAACCAGCCGACTTCATGTTATTAATATCGTTTGAGCTAAAGGCCTTTAAGAGTGAATCCTGTCTACAGATGGTTCTGGTAGGTTCTGGAGGTCAAACGGTCCTTCCATCGTCTAGAACTGGTTCTGACCAACCACCATCACACATGCTGATATGAGCCTGGAACGTTTACCCAGAATGCACTTTGTAAAGTTTCCTCTGGTGACTGATCAGAACCAGAACCACATCCAGGGTACCAATGGTTGTTCCTATGACTCCATGTCATAGACATTAAACTGGTACCACTATGACACATCCCATAATACTGATGCTACCAGCTGGTTATAGAGGACATGAACAGAACCAGGTCCAGTGTTCAGACTGAGACACCTGGATGGATGTAGAACTGATCTGGTGTCAGGTTCTAGCAGAACTCAGACGTGTTCTTCATCAGAAAATGGTCAAATCACATGAAAGTCGTCGAAAATTTACACATAAATGGTCCCAAATTTGTATAAATTCAGCCAGAATGACGCACAAATGTTCAAAAAGACATGAAAGTTGTTTGGAATAACTAAAAAAAAATTTGTTGAAAATTACTAAAAAATATTCATAATGACATAAAATTACTTAAAAGTTGTCCTGAATTACTGAAAATGTCTCATTTTTT